CTCACGCAACGTTGTTGCATTCCATTCCTGGCCCCTCCTGCTGCCGTTCGCCCCTTCCCCCTCCTCCGCCTTTTCCGGCTCCGCTGGGCAGTCGCCCCCCCCCCCCCCCCCACCCCCTCTCGAATGATGTTCCTAGCTCGGGGCAGAAGGGGGGCATGTGGGGCCTGGCGACCGCGTGAGGACACTAGGCGCACGTGCCTCGCTGCGGCTTCGGCTTGGCACTGCATCTGCCCCCCCTCCTCCTCCGCCTTCTGGGTCGTCGCTGATTGCTGGCGGGCCGTCCCTGTTGTTTTCTTACAACCTTTCTGCGCGCGCTCGCATGGCAACCGCTCTTTCACTTTGCGGTTCTAGCTTCCGCGGTGCCCATTGCAACGCCAGCAAAACAGGCCAGCCAGCACCATATGGGCCAGTCTTTCCAGCCACAGCTTTTCTTAATAATACGACCCTCTTGTGACGCTGCAGCATTTATCGAAGGCCGACGTGCATCGCAACCCAGAGCGTCAGCCCAACATAAAGCACAACAGCGCGTAGTCTGCCTGCTTTTCTCCCGGCAAGCCAGCCGGGTAACTTGGATTGGGGGTGGCCTTCGAGTTGAGAGGCGCAGGTGCTCTGGGAAAGAAGTACTCAGCATCTCCCCGCCCCCTGCATTACCCGCGGCGAGGCCGCATACTTCTTGCAAGCTCAAACTGCAACATGTTACCTGCCGCTGCCGCTCTACCCGGTTAGCGAGCTCTCACACAATTTCATATGGATCCACATCCTAACTGTCTCCTACGGTTTCTCGCGTTTTCTACTTTTTGACATTCGCCTCTAGTTCCTCGCGCTGCTCTTCCCTATACTCATTTCTCACCGCTATCAACTGGGCCAGCCCGCGCCGTCTGAACCAGCCCTCGCACGCGCCGGCTTCTGCGAGCCACGCGGCGAGCCCCCATTTCAATATCGACAGTCTTCTTTGCTTGCGCATGCCACTCGCCATGCCCTGACCTGCAGCGCCTCGCCCACCTCTCTGATACGAATGCGCATGTTCAAAGCTATTTTGGCTCGCCGGGTGGAGACGAATCCCCGGGGCGAATCCTCCAGTGGGCAACCGTCACCAGCAAACTCATTTTATGTCTAAAGACTGGCCAAACTGTTTACCCCTGCATCGTCACCCGCTCCACTGATTCTCTGCGCCGCATTGCATATCACGTTGTTGCACCTGTCTACTAAGGACGGTGGAACTGGGCGGGGTCATATGCGGGCGGGGGCGGGGGTGGAGGGGCCTCACTCTATTCGGCCGCCTGCCACCGCGAAAGGATTCATAGTTCTCTAGACAACTCGCGCGCAACAAGATGCAGGCTAGCCTCCCACCGCCGACCGTCCTCTGTCGCACACGTATGTAGATCTGATTACGGTTACGCGCCCTCTCCGCAGTCTTCCCTTTCACTTGCCTCGTAGATCGCTCTGACTTTTGGCGAACCATCACAGCCTGTGCCTGCCTCAACTCACGCAGCAACTTCGCCAGTTCTACTTCTCCTACCGCATGACTAACTAGGGTGGTTTGCGGGGTTGAGGATCATGACATCTGCGAGAGGAGGATCATCGCCCTCGCGGCCCCGCTGACTACGCCAATCATGGCTGCGCCAACTGCGCCGAGTATCATCCGGGGGGCCGTGCTGACAATGCCAGCCATGACTGCGGCAATCTCCTCGCTGCTGCCACTCTGACCAAGCCCCGCCGGAACGCCGCCGGATCATTTCAAAAATGCGGGCGTGAAAAAGAACAACAACGACAGTTGTGGGGATAGATATGGCCACGGCAGCGGCCTCCTGTCGGCCCGCGGCTTGACCCAGAGCGGCTTGAGCCAGAGAGGACTTGAGCCAAGTCTACAGTCTGGCGGGGATACGCGTAGCGCCAATTACTCAAACGAATTAAGCCTGGCGGGCGCAGCGAGAAAAAGGAGGGGCATAGGCGCGAAAAGAACGCGGGGTCTTAAACTTCCTCCTTCTCATAATTGCTACACGCTGCGTTGCTGTTCGTCTGCGCGCCCCCCCCCCCCCGGCCCGCCCCCCCGGAGTCGCGCCGCGTCGGCGGGCCCGCGGGCCCCCCCGAGCTCTGCGCCGAGGCCCCGGCCCCCAAGACGGCCCAAGGGGGGGCCTAAGGCGACCGCAAGGCGGCCCCGGGAGGCCCCCAAGACGGCCCCCGAAGGGACCAGACGGCGCAAGAGCGGCCCATGATGGCGCAAGAGCCCCCAAGATGGCCCCAAGAGGCCACGCCACGAAAGGGGCTCCCAGGAGGCTTCCATGGGGCCCCCAAGAAGCCCCCATGATGCCCGAAAGGAACCCCAAAACTTCCCAAAGAAACCGCCCGTCGCTAGTGTCTTCGGCGCCCTGTCGCAGCACCTCGGCGACTTCCTGGTAGATTGAAGACCCCTTGAAGCCGCGCACCTGCAGCCAGATCCCCTGCGGTAGGAAGCGGGGGCGAAGGATCTGGACAGCCGAGCATTCCTCGCGCCGCTGCTCGTCCTCGTGGTGGAACTCAAAGGACACGATGGTGGCCCCTTGCTCCTGCGCGAGCCCCAACTTCTTCTGCAGCTCTTCCTGCGCGGCCGTGAACCGCGCCCCCGTGCCGACGCGGGCCGGCAAGGCGCCGTGGATGTCCTCTGTCTCGTGCGTGCACGGGGCGTTCAGGAGGCGCCGACCCGCGCCGGGATCGCCCTGAATCCGAACTGCACTCGTCCACGGCCTGCAAGAGAACGAGGGGCGCGCCCAGGCGCAGTGCGTCGCGACGGGCGCGCGCGTTGATCCACCTCGCCAGGCTCTCCCAGTATGTGCCCGTGCCGTCGCCGAGCCGAAAGTTCTCGTGCTGGTGCCGAGGGTCCAGGACGCCGTGCTTGTCCGAGGCCAACGTCTTCTCCCAGGCGGACCAGACCTCCGGCGGGAAGGTCTTGCTCTCGCGCGAGCAGATCAGTAGCGCCGGGCTAGAAGCGCCTCGTGCCCTTCAGCTCGAAGACGCAGGGGATCTGAAAGAAGACCTCGATGGCGTGCTGAATCTTCACCGTCGTCTGGTCCGCGTACTTGTGCAGCCCGTCGTCGTCCAGGCGCTCGTTCGGATCCGTCAGGAGGCCAATGCTGCCGGTGGGCTTCACCTGCAGGACGTCGCCGAAGTGCAACGCGATGGAGACGCGCCCGAAGTGGTGGTGCGGCCGCTGGTGGGTGGATTCCTGCACGTCGTGCGTGTCACTGCGTCCGTGGCACGCGCGAAGGCCCAGCGCGTTGTACAGCGCGGCTGCCACCATGCGTATCTCCTCGATGGCAAGAGCGCGGGAGTGCTCCCACAACCACTTCAATCTCTTCTGCATGCACCCCGGTCGCAGCTTCGCGTTGATGTACTTCTGGACTCGCATGGCACAGGCATTGTGCAGCGCTCTGGCCTTGACAGTGTCCGTGGAAATGTTCTTCGCCTGCGCGTTCGAGAAGGCAACGATTATCATGCTGACCTCGTCCTCATTATCCGAGAGCCTCCTCCTCCTCCTTCTCCTCCTCCTCCTCCTCCTTCTCCACAGGCCTAAGGGCTGTTCGGGCTTGTTGGGATTTCGGTGAAGCCCCAGACCGAATGGGAGGGAGGGAGGGAGGGGGCTCCCGCCTGAAACGTCCTCAGAATTCACTCACAGACGAAGCTCCTGCCGGATATTTCCTCCAAGTTCAAGCCAGAAGAAGCCAAACGTGACGGCACTTACAAGAATGTGATGGCCCGCCTGGGTGAATAACATGATCTGCGGGCCCTTTCGGGCAGGGTTCCCGCCTGAGACGTCCTCACAATTCACTCACAGACGAGGCTCCCGCATGATACGTCCCCAAAATTCAACCCAGAGGAAGCCAAAAGTGACGACACTTACAGGACTTGGATGGCCCATTCGGATTAGTAAAATGATTTGCGGCTCCTTTTTTTTTCACGGAGGCCTTTAGGGAGGGGGCTCCCGCCTGAGACGTCCTCAGAATTCACTCACAAACGAGGTTCCCGTGTGATACTTCTTCCCCAAAATTCAAACCAAAGAAAACCAACACTTACGAAACTTACAATAATTTGATGACCCGCCTGAGACTTCCTCACAGTTCACTCTCAAACGAGGTTCCTGCCTGATACTCCTCCATGTTCAGGCCTGAGGAGCCCAAAAGTGACGACAGTTACAAGTTTGCCGAGAGGGTTCATGTGAGTGGCCACGAAAGGATAACTGAGTGCATGGCGATGATGTCGTTGATGATGATGTGTGATGATGATGCTGATGATGGTGAATGATCGACGGGTGATTGTGTTGGTGATGATGAGATGATGATGATGATGCTGATGATGAGAGGTGTTGATGATGAATGCTGATGATGGCGAGTGCTGGTGACGCGGTGTTGACAATGATGATGCTGACGATGATGAATGGGTGATTGAGCGAGTGAGTGTCTGAGTGCGTGAGTGAATCGGTTCTTGTTCCTGCGCGGGGTGTCCACCAGAGAAAACAAGAACCCCATTTTGGATGTGGGGAATCACCTGTTGCACTTGTTGTGCTCTCGGGGGCCTGTGACGGCCCGAGCAGCCTCCTAGACGGCCCCCGTACCCCAAGACGGCCCAAGAGCACCCCAAGATTGCCAAAAGAGACCCACAATACACAAGACGGCCCAAAAGGCCATCAAAACGACCTAGGACGACCCCAAAAGAGCCCCAAGGCGGCCCAGAGAGGCCCCCAAGACTGCCTCCGAAGGGGCCGGACGGCGCAAGAGCGCCCCAAAACGGCCCAATACGCCCCCGAGAGGCCCCAGAGAAGCCCAAAGAGGCCCCAAAGAGGCCCCAAGAAGCCTCCAAGAGGCCCCGAAGAGGCTCCCAAGAGTCCCCAAAACGACTGGACTGTACATGGTCTGGACGTGGCCCCGCGAAGCGAGAGGAATCTGTCAACCTCCACCTAGAAACCCTTCCCCATATCCTCAAGGGCCCCATCCCTCAAGGCCCTTCCCCTTCGAGCCCCGGGATTCCTGGGCAGGTCGCCGGCCGACAGCAACGCCAAGTCCTGCTTGGTCAGCACGACCGCCGGCGTCGAGCTCCTGCTGACTGGTCGCGGCAGCCGCCTGCTCTGCGCGGACATGACGCCGCTGCGGGGTGAGCCCGCGGCTGCGGACGCGCCTGGCGCACCCGCAACCGTCGCCGCCCTCGAGCCAAGTGGGGGAATTATGGGGGGAATACGACGGCCTCTCGTGTCGCGACAAAACACGACTGAACATTTTGACAAGTGTTCGGCCTCCAGGGGCCCTTGGTGGGTCCAGGGGCCGTCAAAGAAGGACTCAGGATTGGAAACCGGTCCGGGGGAAGGGGTCAAACCTCCAAGTCCCCACCTAAAACATTTAACGACGTCGGGGCGCTGGGATCGAATCGAACATTTGCGGATGCACTGCAATGCCCTCTTGGGCACTTCCTGCAGAAGCCTCCAAAGACCCCCAAACTCGGGGACCCCCAGAAACCTCTGGAGGAGGAGGAGGAGGAAGAGGAGGAGGAGGAGGACGAGGAGGAGGAGGCGGAGGGCCCAGGCAGCTGGTAGTACACGCGGTTCGATCCACACGCAGGGGCGGCGGAGGCGGGCCTCCAGATACACCTTCAGAAGGACTGGCGCGCCCAGCCGCGCTGGTGCAGAGCGCTGGAAACCCGTGAAGCCCATCTGTGTGCTCAGCTCGTGCCCAGGCTGGCCACGTCATGTGGTTCGCCACAGAAACTCAGATGCCCAAGAAATTTGAACCTCTAAACCGGCTGAATTTGTCACTTCAGCTGGCGGCCGTTCCGGCTGCGGAACCGCCCCCGTTTGTCCCCACATGTTTCGTGGGGTTATGGTTTTCTTCCAACCCGCGTCGCACCCGCGTCTTCCTCACACCTCCCGCCTCCCCCTTTCCCGTCCTCCTCGTCATTCTTTCCTTCACCCACACGCAACACACGCATAGACCCTCAGCACAGCACAGCTCAGCAATACACAACGCAACACCGCACGACGGTCATCCAGGGCACAGCAGGCATGGCGTTTTGTCCACACCATAAGGGGTACGCACGGGGTGGTCCCAAACGGCGGCCGCTATGCGTGACGGTCGTCCAGGGCATAGCAGGCGTGGCGTTTTCTCGACACCACAAGGGGTGCGCACGGGGTGGTCCCTGAGCGCGGCCGCTATCCGTGACGGTCGTCCAGGGCACAGCAGGCGTAGCGTTTTCTCGGCACCACAAGGGGGTGCGCACGGGGTGGTCCCTGAGCGCGGCCGCTATGCGTGACGGTCGTCCAGGGCACGGCAGGCGTAGCGTTTTCTCGACACCACAAGGGGTGCGCACGGGGGTGTCCCTGAGCGCGGCCGCTATCCGTGACAGTCGTCCAAGGCATAGCAGGCGTGACGTTTTCTCAGCAACACAAAGGGGTGCGCACGGGGTGGTCCCTGAGCGCGGCCGCTATGCGTGACGGTCGTCCAGGGCACGGCAGGCGTGGCGTTTTCTCGACACCATGGTGCACAGCAGGCGTGGCGTTCCCTCTGCAGCACGATGGGTTCGCACGGGGTGTTCCGTGACGGCGGCCGCTATGCGTGACGGACGTCGAAAGCACGGCAGGCGTGGCCTTTTCTCGACACCACAAAAGGTGCGCACGGGGTGGTCGCTGAGCGGCCGCTATCCGTGACGGTCGTCCTTGCCCCAGCAGTCGTGGCAAATTCTCGACACCACACGGGATGCGCAAGGGGTGGTCCTTGAGCACGGCCGCTCTCCGTGATGGTCGTCCTTGCCCCAGCAGGCCTGGCAGATTCTCGACACCGCCCGGGGTGCGCACAGGGTGGTCCCTGAGAGCGGCCGCTATCCGTGACAGTCGTCAAGGGCATGGCAGGCGTGGCGTTTCTCGACACCACAAAGGGGGTGCGCACGGGTGGTCCTTGACCGCAGCCGCTATGCGCGACGGTCATGCAGGGCACAGCAGGCGTGGCGTTTTCTCGACACCACAAGGGGGTGCGCACGGGGTGGTCCCTGAGCGCGGCCGCTACCCGTGACGGTCGTCCAGGGCACGGCAGGCGCGGCATATTCTCGACACCACAAGGGTGCACACGGGGTGGTCCCTGAGCGCGGCCGCTATCCGTGACGGTCGTCCAATCCACGGCCACCGTGGCGTTTTCTCGACACCACAAAGGGTGCGCACGGGGTGGTCCCTGAGCGCGGCCGCTATCCGTGACGGTCGTCCTTGCCCCAGCAGGCCTGGCAGATTCTTGACGCCGCCGGGGGTGCGCACGGGGTGGTCCCTGAGGGCGGCCGCTGTGCGTGACGGTCGTCCAGGGCACAGCAAGCGTAGCGTTTTCTCGACACCACAAAGGGGGTGCGCACGGGGTGGTCCCTGAGCGCGGCCGCTATCCGTGACGGTCGTCCAGGGCACGGCATGCGTGGCGTTTTCTCGACACCACAAAGGGTGCGCACGGGGTGGTCCCTGAGCGCGGCCGCTATCCGTGACGGTCGTCCTTGCGGTATCGGCGGGGCAACGGCCACCAACATCGTTCTCACATGCTTCACTTCAGCTATCATCACTCCAGCCATCATATAAGCATGTGGGGCTCCTCGGTAGCGTAATTAACTTCTGCTGGCCCTCCGCCCGCGCTTCCTGGTAGGGCGAAAGGCGCCGAAAGCGAAGCCGTTCTGCAGCGCAACGAGGGTGAAGAGGCAGATGAGCGAGGATGAGGGACGAGAAAAGAGCGGAGGCGGTGGACGACGAAGATAAAAAGGGGATCAGTGCGATGCCGAGGGCCTTTCGGGGCACGGCCGGCAAGGGATACGTGGAAGAAGTGCAATGGGGAACGAGGAAGAAGAAGGATCAGACTGCTTCCCTGAGATTTCGGCACTGCATGTTTTTCACACCCCACGTTTTCTCCCAACGTCGTGTCCTGGGGGCCTCATGGATCGATCCGGCTCGAGAGATACAGCCGGAAGGTCAGGTCGAAGACTCTGACAGTAACCCCCGACGGTGTTGCATTTTTTGCGTGACGTCGGATCTCAGGGTTCCAGGACCCCCACAAGGCCTCTGGGCATGATTGGTTTACTAACTCAGCTCCTCCAGCAGAACCCATTGAACCCCTTCGGTCGGGGAAACATGTGCCCCTCCTCCTACTCATTCCCCTGGGGTCCGACTGGGACTGCCGGTACGTCTTGCAGGGCCCATTTATACCCAGGACGGCTCCAAGATCGCGCGCAATGGATCTACATGCAGTTCAAGCGGGCATACAACATTGATCCAAGAAACCCCCAAACGACCACCTGACGGCACGAGGTGGCTACGCGTTCTCCCAAGGCTGCCCTCGATTGGCCAAAACGGCACAGACTGGTGGCCGAAACATGCGCTCCCTCCCCCCCCAACAGCGCAAAAACGAAACGCACCTACATTGGAGAACAACGACATCCAACGTATCCTAAATACTTCCTCACGTGCTGCTGCTCTGAAACTCCTGCAAAGAGTCCTGGCGCCGACTTTCTGTAGTAGGCGCTGTAGTAAGAGCTGCAGTCGGAGAAGCCATGGAAATGTCAATGCTGGTTGTAGTAAGTGTAGCATTAGCGGTAGGACGTGTAGCGAAAAGTGCACGAATTGCTAAAGTAGGAACCGTAGGAGCTGTAGTCGGGGCTTGAGTAGGACCTTCAGTGGGGGGTAGTAAGAGCTGCAGCGTAGTGAAACTTGTGCTGTGATTGCATGGGAGCGGTAGTAGGGTAGTGGAGCTGTAGCAAACAGGCACTGAACGCTGTGCTACTGGCTGAAAAGGGAGCTCTAGTATGAGCTACGCTTGGACATATAGCAAGAGCTGTGGCAGAATCTGTAGTAAGCTCCGTGGCAAAGAGTTGTAAGCAACTCGATGCACATTGCTTCTCTCGGATTTGTAGTACGAGTTCTAATGCAAGCTGTGGCAGGACCTTCCGAAGAAGTTACAGTAGCGCTGTAGTGAGAGCTGTTGTGGAAGCTGTGCTAGGACCTGCAGTAAGAGGTGCAATGAAAACTGTACTGCTGGCTTTGATGGGACGGCACCGGGAGTTGAAGTAGTATCTGTAGTAGAAGCTGTGGGAGGAGCCGTTGTACAAGCAGCACTGCGACGTGTATGACTGGCCGCAGTGGGAACTGAAGTATAAGCTGCACTCGCAAACACAGTCAGAGCTGCGATCGGAACTGTAGTACGACCTGTAATCGGAATCGTAGGAGTTCTGGTGAGAAGTTAGGAACTGCTGAAGAGCTATGGTGAGAGTTACGGTAAGAACTGGAATGCGAGCTCCAGTAAGAACAGCATGGAGAACGATCTGCGCTACTGGCTGTAGTTGGCATTCAGCTAGTGGTAGCACTCGCGCACGAAAGTCAAGAGAAGACCAACGCGCAACAGCAGGAGCCGTGTGGAAAAAAACAGAAAGAAAAGAGACCAGTGGTAGTGCGTGCTGTAATTGCCTCCTCCTCCTCTCCTCCTCCTCCTCCTCCTCCTCCGCCTTCTCCCAGGAGCAACCAACATTAAGTCGCGAGGACAGATTGGCACGAAAAGATGATCGAATCGGGCTGAATCGGCTCAGAATCGAAATCGGATCGAATCGGCTGCGCCCGGATACATGACTACGCTGTGCCAACATTTGGCAACAACAGACCCTGGACCACCTGGAAATCGGAATCGCGTCGGATCGAGCCGGGTGAACTCGACATCGCATCGGATCGATCGAATCGAAAGGGGCCCTCCGCCCGATCGTATTCGGGAGAGCCGTCGCGCCCACGGCGGGGGCCTCCAGCGGGCCCCCCCGCCTGGCGCGCGCGCGCGCGGGAACGGGGCCGGGGGGGGAAGGAAGGAGGGGCGGCGGCGACCTCCTCAGCCCTGCCGCCGGCCGCTGCCACGGCCGCCCCGCCGCCAGTCGCGGCGGCGGCGCCCTCCCCGCCACCGCCGCCCGGGCTGGAGGCGGGCGAGTTTCTCCCATCCCCCTCACTCCTCCCCTCCCTTGCACCCCTCTCGTCCCCTTCACTCCCCTGTCCCCTCCCTTGCACTCCTTCCGTCCTCTTGCTCTCCCGTCGGGAGGAGTGCAAGGGTGGGGCTGGAGCCCCCTCCCCTTGCACTCCTCCCGTCTCCTCACTCCTCCTCTCCCTTCGCCTCCCCTCCCTCCCCCCCCCCCTGTAAAATGGCTATTGCCCCACAGCTTTGCTGTCT